GACAGATGGAGAAGGGCCATGGAACAGCATATCACTCTTTAAAAAACAAAACAAAACAAAAATTTAATAGAGACAGGATCTTGTCATGTTGCCCAGGCTGGTCTCGAACTCCTGGGCTCAGGCGATCCTCCCACTTTGGCCTCTCAAAGTGCTGGGATTACAGGTGTGAGCCACCACACCTGGCCACAACATATCATTCTTAACCCACAGTGACCATTGATCGGGCACTGACTGGGTGCCAGGCTTGGCCACAGTGGCACTTGCCCAACTAGGCAGAGGCTGACCCAGTGCTAGCTGCCCCATGATAGATGTGCAATGATCACTGTGAAATATGTATTCATTCCAATACCAACTGCAAAGGCTGGATGAGCCTGGACTCAGTGCCAGGCACTGAGCTACCTGCTTTACACACAGCCTCGTGCAATTCCGAGGTAGCTGCCATCACCCCCAACAACTTACACAAGAGGAAATGGAGGCTTACAGAGGTGAAGTAACTTGGCTCCGCACAGCCTGGCTAGTACAGCTGAGCTGGCTCAGCTCTGCGCAGCCGGCACTCTGAACCCAGACTCAAGGGTTTAGGCCTCATCCTGTGACTGGTGGTGAATCGGGGGAGGAGGGTTTTAAGCAGGGGAGCAGCAGGGCGGGTGCTGCTGCCCCTCTGTCCCCATGGGGGATGAGGGGAAGGCCATCCACAAAGCAAAGCCGGTGGGCAGAGCTGCAGAGCCACTTCTACCTCCTTAGGCCTCGACATCCCAGCGGGGACGGCCAGTGTTACAGGCACCCATCAGCCTCTGCCATGAGTGGTTCTGGACACGGCTGGTCTTCCCAGCCAGAGGCCACCCAGTTAACCACTCTCTGTGCCACACTTTTCCACTGAGATCCTCACTTAGTAAGTGGAGGGCTAATGAAGATAAGGAAACAGCCCCACTTTGCACACAAATTCAGACTAAAACGAACTGGCAAACCTCCATTTGATGCTTTAGTAGTAAAGGGGTGTGTTTTAGAAAAAAGAACTCTTACAATGTCTGTTAACATTTTTTGCAATAACCGCACGGGCCATCTGTATGCTCAACACACAGGATTGCGGGGATTTTCTGCTAGAGGGACTCAATGGTGTTGACTAGGAGTCAGTTTAAGGATCTGGGATTCAAACGCCAGGCATGAAGGAGTGCGGTTCAGCATTTAAAACTTTAATAAGAGGCTCAGGTACTTCATGTCATTTCTACAATTCTAGAGAAGGCAGGCATCACATCGCCCAATGCCTCCATCTCACAGATGGGAGAACCAAAGCTCAGAAGTCCTGGGACTTGGCTGGTGATGGTGTCCCCAGGATTTGCTGGTGGCTCTTCTCTCATCTCTTGGCCTAACAAAGTATACACAAATGTAGGTGTCCCTCCAAAACATGCAGGAGTCTGATTCTGTGCTTACCCAGGAAGCTCAAAGCTGCTGCCTTTGGGCGCATGTGCTATGCCAGGCCTCCACATTAGCCTCCCAGGCCCTCTGGCACCCAGCAGCATAACCAAAAGGGCAAAGGGAGGAGCTGAATGAGACTGTAACTTGTGGGGGGTGGGGGTGGGTGAGTATTTGTGTGGGTTCCAAAGTCCAAAAAAAAAAAAAAAGAATGTCAAATCGATCGATGGACTCAGCATAAAGTTCACACTGGATTTCTGCCTGGGACTGGAGATCATCAGCCCCAACTCCCTGGTGTCAACCCCCTTGCTACGGGTGCTCAGGTCCCTTCCCCCTCCCCTTGCCAATGCCAGGTTGGCAGGGGCAGGAAGTGGGAGCCTGGTGGCCCTGGCATTCCCAGCACCCACCTCTGGCTGGACAGGGCTTCTGGTGACCTCACTTCCACCAAACCAGTTGATCCTCTAGGGCTTTGCCTTCTCCCTTAATGCCAAACTGTACCCTTTCTCTGTCCAGAAGGATCCTCCTGGTCCCCATGGACACTCCCATCAGACACTGCCACCAGGGCGAGCTGGTGCAAACTGAAGGGGCCCTGGGAGGCTCACGCCCTGCCCTACACAGTACACCACTCCACTCTCTGGGGACAGGAGGCTCAGCACAACTCCTGTTTTGCCAGCTGCCCCTCCTGCAGCTGATCCAAACTGGGATCCTATGGGCAAACACCAAACATGGGCAAAAAGCAACCGGCCTGCTGGCTGTGTGGGCACCAGAGTGACCGTGGCAAGGCCAGGGCAAGACCACCGGCTCACCGTGAGCTCCGCTGGCGCACACAGGGCCGTGAGCCCCAGGAGCTCTCTCCCCTCCCCCTAGCCATCTTTCTCTTCTTCTAAGGTCTTCCCCCTCCCCTCCCAGATACAGCTCTAGGCGCTTACTCCTCACATTCCTGAGAATCGTAAATCCTCTGAGGTGGCAGAACCACCACTCCGAGATGCCTTGGCTCCTCCTCCCCGCCAGGCAACCCCCACACCGCACTGAGATGGTGGGGCTTCCTCTCCCTTAGAAGTCACACAGGACTCCGGGAGGATGAAGTCCTGCAGGACTGAAGTTCAGGACACACACCGGCGGGCTGCGGGGAGGGCCTTCTCGCGCCAGGGCTCCGCACAGGAGTAATGCTATTTCTCTAGCTTTTGACGTAGGAGTGGCGGGGGAAGCTGGCACCTCTGGGAAGGAGAGCCCTTCCTCCCTGGCCCATCTGCGGACTGGGGTGAACGAGGAGAGGGCGTCAGGGGACGGGCAGGACTGGGGGATTCCGAGGAAGGGGAGCAGACACCCGCAGACCCGAGGGAAGGGGGGCTGGGTTCCCCTGCGCCGCCCTCCCAAAGGCCAGGGAACAAGAGGTGCAGGCGGCAAAGGCTCTCAGGCTCCCAGCACAGCCTGGGAAGGAGAGGAGGTCGCGGGACGCAGCCCCAGGCCTGCCTAGGATGTGCCAGAGCGCCTGGTAGGCGGGCGGAAGCGGTCTCCCCCTCGCAGCTCGAGTTTCAGAAAAACGACGGCCGGCGCGAAGCTGGACGGCCGGGGCACCTGGGTCTCTCTGGATCCCCCTCCCACTCCGTTCCAGCCTGCGCGGCCGGGGCCGAGCTTACCTGCTCCGGGTGGCTCTTGTCGGCCTCGCGAGGCTCATTTTCACTGCCAGCTCCCTGCGCCTCGGCGGCGGCCGGCGGCTCGGCCTGCCCCGGCGTTTCCTGGGCGCGCAGCAGCTCCTCTCGGACCTGGACGCCAAGCTTCTGCAGCTGCTCGTCCGTCTCGGGGTCGACCACCAGCAGGCGCACGGCGTTGAGTGCCGCGCGGATGCGGCTCACCACCTGCTGGTGGGTCTCCTTCTCCACATTTTCGCCGTTCACCTCCACCAGCCGGTCCCCCGCCAGCAGCCCCGCCTTCTCGGCCGGCGAGCCAGGCTCCACCAGCCGGATGTACTGGCCCAACTTGCCCTTCTCCCCGTGCAGGTGGAAGCCGTAGCCGTTCGGACCCTTCTCCAGGCAGCAGAGCCGGGGCAGGGGCGCCCCGGCCGCCGCGTCCGCGCTCATCTCGCCCTGCGACGGGTCAGCGGCGCGACTTGGGGTTCCGTTGGGGATGGGACGGGACGGCCCAGCCCTTCTTCCCGTCCAGCGAACCGGGAGCGCAGCGGGGAAGCCCTGAGCCGCCGGAGGGGCGAAGCGAGCAGGTGTCCCAGGAACCGCTGGCCGCCGCGGGCAGCGAGGAGCCGAGAGAACTGCACGGACCAATCCCCGCCCCGCGCGGCGTCTGAGCGTCCCAGAGCCCGCCCCAGCTCCTTACCCCGGGGGCGGGGCCGCGCTGAGGGTGGGGACCTCCGCGGGCCAATAGGGGGCTGCGGGCCGGGGCGCTCCGTCCGGGTGAACGGCGCCGGCCAATGGGAACGCGCGGGGCGGGGCCTGTGCTCGGCACTGCGCCCCGCAGCGGGCGAAGACAGTGCGCTCAGGAAGTGGAAGTGTTTGTTACCGAGCGGTCAGCGCTGGGGTGGCAGGGGCGTGGCCCGCCGAGTTCCCGGTTCTGGGCGGTGGGGCCCGCTGGCTCAGGCCTGGTCTCCCCTACCTGTGGCGGGGAGTGAGGAGAGCTGGCCCTCGGATAAAGGGCTCTAACTTTGTTTTTGTTTTTGAGACGGAGTCTCGCTCTGTCGCCCAGGCTAGAGTACGGTGGCGCGATCTCGGATCACTGCAACCTCCGCCTCCCGGGTTCAAGCGATTCTCCTGCCTCAGCCTCCCGAGTGGCTGGGATTACAGGCGCGCACCACCACGCCCGGCTAATTTTTGTATTTTTAGTAGAGACGGAATTTCGCCATGTTGGCCAGGATGGTTTCAAACTTCTGACTTCAGATGATCCGCCCTGGGATTACAGGCGTGAGCCACCGCACCTGGCCAACGTTTTAACAGCCTTTAGCCAAAGCCTGGGTGCAGCTCCAATTGAGAGGGAGAGGCTGTTGCCGTGGCAACCACTCCCGCGCTCAGGGCAGCGAGGGCCTAGCGGTCTCGAGAATTAAGACGGAGGGCCTCCTGGGAACCTACAGAGTTTGAATAACATTTTTCCGTTTGTGGGAACCCTAACCCTAATCCACTTTGTGCTGTCCCAGGACTTGCATAGAGGAGTGCGGGTTCTGATCCCTGCTGGGAAGATGAGGGCTCAGCGAAGGAGAGCCTGGGACCTCGAGGGGCAGCCCACTGAAGACAGGCCATCTAGGCCAATGGCGTGGGCTCTGGCGCAGCGTTTGACTAGGGAGGTGGGGTGGGGAGAGGCAAGACAGACTCAGGTAATCAACCTCTGGGTACACTCCACAGGGAAAGGAGCCTTGGCTTTTTTTTTTCAACAGAGAAAAATGATTAGGACTGTAAAGCCTTCTAGCTCACTCTTGCCAAAGAGAGGCTGGTCACAGAGGCGGGGAGACAGTCTCTTAGGAGGGCAGCTGGCCATCTGAGGACAGACACTGAGGAAGGAGGATGGAATGATTTTGGCAGTGAATGACAATTCCTTCAACAGGACCCCCCCGCCACGCTCACTTCAAAGAAACAGTGGACAGGATGTGCTTTCCAAAATCCTGCAGTTTAATTCTGAAAAACTCAAATGCAAGAGGCCCAGAGCTGTCTACGGGATTGGAGCTCCTGCAACCTGCCTCGGGCCCCAGAAGAGACTGGCAATGTCAACCTCCTCCCTGCTCTGCCTGGTTGAGGCCACGGAGAGCTTCCTCATCGGGCCCAAACTGGAGCCGCTGACTGCTCAGAGCAAGATTTCTGCCTTGAAAGCAAATGCTGTAGGCTCAGAAATGTGCAGCGCATACTTCTTCCTCCCCCCCATCCCCACTCAGGCCTGCAGAGCTGCAGTAAAGGTGCCTGCAGGTCATGACCTCGTGTCTCCTGTCCACTTCCAATGGCAGGGGTCAGAGCTTTGGGAGACATGTGACCAAAGAGGCCACATGAACTTGCTACCCCTTTCTCTACCCCCGACATACCCACATGACCTTGTTTTACTCACATTGCATTGGTTTAATTCGGAAATGGGTGACCTCCCACCCCCTAACCTGACGGAGTAGGTGGGGAGGTAAAGCAGTTTAGGCCCTGGTATCTATTTGAGAAGTTAAAGGAAAGGGCATGGGTGGTCAGGGAGGAGGCAGAGCTTGGGGTCAAAGGGATACACGTGGGGGGAGGTTTGCTTAATCTTGTCTCCCACCAGCTCCAGGAGCCAGGGATTTCTTTTTCACAACACATTCCAAACCTAGGAAAGGGATTTCTCCTTATCTGGCTTTTAACCCGGGAGAGCTAAACACTTCAGCTGCTTGAAGAAATTGCCTGTGGAGCTGCATGCCTGCCAAAGGATTGGGATAAGACACATCTCGGCTGGGCGTGGTGCCTCCTGCCTGTAATCCCAGTACTTTGGGAGGCCGAGGCCGGCAGGTCGCTTGAGCTCAGGAGTTTAAGACCAGCCTGGGTAACATGGTGAAACCCTGTGTCTACAAAAAATACAAAAATTAGCCAAGTGTGGTGGTGCACACCTGTAGTCCCAGCTACTTGGGGGGCTGAGGTGGGAGGATCACTTGAGCCCCAGGGGATGCAGGTTGCAGTAAGCGGAGATTGCACCACTGCACCCCAGCCTGGGCAACAGAGCGAGACTCCATCTCAAAAAAATAAAAAACAAAACTATTTTCCTGGTTCTGACCTGAGGTTTTTAGGTGCACAGGCAGGAAGGTAGCTAAGCCAGGGATTCCGTGGGGAGGGTCTCCCCCAGGATCTGAGGTCCAGAGAACAGGAGCCTGGAACCAATATTTCCAGGTGCCCCAATGTGCTTGTGTGCTGGAGAAAAGGGGCATGCCTCCAAGGGGGTGTTAGTAAGGCCAGAGGTAGCCAGCCCGACCCTACTCTCTGCCCCGTGTCCTCCACCTCCCATCTCCATACCTCTTATCTTCCCTGAGGCTTTGGTCTCCCTCACGGCACAAGGGCCCACTTATTTGGGGGGATGGGGTGGTGAAGATAAGCTCCTGGAGAGCAGGAGACAGTGAAGGCTGGGGTCAGCTCAGCCTCTCTCCAGCTGAACTGAGGGTGCGATGGAGTCATTACCTGCCCTCACCCCCAAAGTGCATCTGTGTCCCCTGGGGCTGAGCTGGAGCAACACCACCTTTGTTATGTTTAGGAGGGAGGGCCAGCCCCCCAAGTCCTAGAAAGCAAAAGGGTTACTAGGGCCCAGCCTCGGTTTTTTGGGCATCCAGGTGCCTTTTTTTTTGGTATTAAATTATGTACTATTAAAATAAAAGCTAAGTGTTTTACCCTCCCCGTGGATGCGGGGAGACCGCAGGAACTCAAGTAGGAGCTGGAGTACAGCTCCCTAGTAGGAAGAGGCTGTGCACTGGGTCCTCCATCTTTCTCCCCATTGGCTCAGCCGCTTGGAATAAGCCAGGCCTGGGGGGGACGGCTGCATCCCCTGGGCCTCCAGAGCCTCCTCTCTGCCCCTTGGGATTCACATGAAGGAGCAGCAGCTGGAGCGCTTCTTCTGGGACTCCACATAGTCTCGGATCTGGAAGCTGGGCTCATTCGCCTGCTGCCCGGCCCGGTATTTCAGCTCCCTTGAAGAAGAGGCAATGGGCTGGGCTGGGGTGGGCTGGGGTGAGGAGCTGAGCAGTCCCCTCCCACCTCCCAGTGGCCCAGAGCAAAGACCTCAGCCTGCAGAATGCAGGTGTGTCCAGGGGCTGGGCCAGGGGCCGGGCCCTACTCGATTCCTGGAGGGTGCCGCCCCGCCCCGCACACTTCCCTTCCCTGTCCAGCTCTCACTTGGCGATGGCCAGAAAGGCTAACTCCACATTCATGCCTGTCTTGGCGCTGGTCTCCAGGAAGGGAACGCCGTACTCCTGTCCGGGAAAGAGTGTCCTCAGGGCCAGCCTCGGGCTGCCCCCACCCTTCACCCTGTCCCACAGAAATCACTTACCCTGGCCAGGGTCTCTCCGTCTTCGGAACGGATCACTCTTTCGCTGCTCATATCCGCCTGTCAAGCCCAAAAGGGTCACTCTGGGGAAGGAGGCCTCCGCCCCAGCGGGCCCATATTTTGCCCCAGAAGCAGGCACTGCCTGCCCTCTGCTGGTGGTCCAAGGGACTGCAAGCAGGTGTGATTGGCCTGGGGCCAGGATTTTTGCCCAGTGTAGCTCCTAATCCTGGGATCTCACCTTTGGTAAAGGGTGTGATGACTCAGTCTTGGAAGGGGACAGCAGTTGGGGCTAACCCTTTGCAGTCTTAGCCCCTGACCTGGGACCCTGTTCACTCTGCTCTAATGGGGACTGAGCACTGGGCACCCCTTGATTTCTCAGGCAACAGCTTGGATTTTTCCTTGAAAGGGGCACGTGGGATGGGCAGAAGCCTCCAGATACGTCTGACTCCTGAGCTGAAGGCTGCAGAGTCCTTTTCAGGAAGGATGCCTAGATAACTGTTCTTGGGTGGTTATGGGGCTGGCTAGGGCTGAGGAAGTGCAGGGCTGGGCTGACCCTGCCCTGGAGCCACTCACCTTGTTGCCTAGCAGCATGATCACCACGTCCCTCTGGGCATACTCATGAATCTCAGTGAGCCAGGCCTGTGGGAAAGGGTGTGCTGAGACTGGCATTCTCCTCCTCCTGCTGCCCCTTTCTTCTTCTGCTCGGTTTGACTGTCCTCAGCTACTCACTACCTTGAATACAATGCCCTGTGCATTCTCTCATCTGTACCTTTGTTCTGGCCAATCCAGGCCTGGGTGGCCTTCCTTGGTGGCTCGAACCACAGTGGCCCCACCCTCCCCATTTTATGCTGTTCAACTATCAGTTCTATGGAAGATCCAGATGCATGGAGACCTTATCTCACAAATCAGTTGGTTGTCACCAGTGATTTCTTGGAATGCCCTGTTGAAGATTATAAGACCACATAAGGGTTTCAGTGATCAAAAGTACTGTGAGTGATTAGTGATGTCTGCCATGAGCATGGGGTAGGAGGTGGGAGTATGAGTGCCATGGATTTTCCATATTTTTTCTATATAAATGTTTTATTCTCCTACTTTGCTTGTCAGCAAACTGTCCTTGAGGTCAGGGAATTCATGAAACCTATACAATGTCATGCACAGAACTGGTGCTTGAATTTATCAAATTTTTGTCTCCATAATAGTTTTGTTGTGAGGATATAGCCACTCACTCTGTCTGACTGAGTCACTTTCTTGCAACTTGCCCTAGATATATGTGTGGACTTTTCTGGTTGTGTTTTTCCCTTGGTCTCTGTGGATAATTATCTAGGGTGGAGTGGGGGCCATTCTGAACACTTTGTCACAAAACACACTCATGAATCACAGTGAGAGCTAAGAAGGTGGCACGCGGTCACAACAGTCTGCTTGGCCTTCATGCCCACGTGGCCACCAAATACAAGGCAGAAGATATGACTTCTGAGTCACAAGTAGGTGTTTTTCAGAAGGCAGCAGGATTCCACGCTCCACCCCCTTTCCACAGGGCAGGAAGCAACCTCAGCCTGCACAGACTTTACCTTGGCTGCTTATGGGTAGCGGCCAGGGGAAGGGAGGACCTACCCTGATGCTGTCAAAAGAAGATTTGCTGGTGATGTCGTACAGCAGAAGCAAGGCTGGAGGGGGAGAGGATCACAGAGTGGACTTAGGCAGCAGCATGGGAGCTACCAAGGGGCTGGGGTAGGGACTGGAGGGTGCGAGGGACTTACCCTGGGCGTCTCTGTAATAAGCATGGGTGACGCTTCGGAACCGTTCCTGCCCAGCGGTGTCCCAGATCTGGGAGGGGATGGGATGGAGAAACGGTCAGAAGGAGGCAGGTGCAAGGAATGTACTGGTTGGAGAGGGTCTGCTTTGTGGTATGAGATATCTGTGGGAAGGTGGGGCTGTTTCCTTCTTTAAATTCTCATGAGCTCTTGAGCATCTAATGACCTGGACAGTAGCAGTTACTGAGTTCTCAAGCTCCTTCAGAATCATCTCCTCAGCCAAGCGTGGCGGCTCACACCAGTAATCCCAGCACTGTGGGAGGCCGAGGCGGGCAGATCACGAGATCAGGAGATCGAGACCATCCTGGCTAACATGGTGAAAACCCGTCTCTACTAAAAATACAAAAAATTAGCCAGGCGTGCTGGTGGGCCCCTGTACCCTGTAGTCCCAGCTACTCAGGAGGCT